TGAAGCCTCAACTGCCCCAGCTCAAGTATCCTCCTCCTGCCTCAGCCACTCAATTAGCTGAGACTACAGGCATGTACCACAATGCCCAGCTAATTATTATTATTATTTGTAGAGATGAGGTCTTGCTATGTTACTGAAGCTAGTCTTGACTGCCTAGTTTCAAGTGATCCTTCCATCTTGTCCTCCCAAAAAGATGCGATTATAGGCATAAGCCACAATGCCCAGCCTTCTATTTTTTAAATAATAGTGAAATATACTTTGACATGACCAAGAAACATTATTCACCATTTTGAGAGCATCAGCTCTGTAGCCTTTTACTACATCATTAAGGGAAGAGTTTTTGCTAGTTTCTTACAGTAAGTGCAGATTTGCCTAGGGTCATGCTCTGCTTTATCCTTCCCCTTGTTGAGATATAAAGTTGTATTTCTGAAGTTTACACATTCATGGTGTTTTTAATTAGTGACCTTTACCAATTGAACCTTGATTTTGTGCTTTGACTCAACATTGAACCAACAGAGAGAGTCTCTTCCAGTGCAGTGAATTAATGTTTATGTTGGGTGAGGTTTTATATAATCAAAAAAAAATCTATGGAATTAAATGTGTAAAAAGCATAATATATAACCTATTATATAGAGATGAATTCTCTGTTGCCCAGGCTGGAGTGTGGGGGCATGAAATTAAATGTACAAACAGTATAATATGCAATCTATTTTCAACTCATTTATTCCAGAACAAAGCTGCTGCATATTTTTCACTGGTCAATGCATTGGTTCAGCTGGAGGTGATTTTTTTTCCCCTCTGGGGAATATTTGGCATTGTCCATAGATAAATTTGCTCTCCAAGACTGGGAAGGTCCTATAGCATCTAGTTACTTGATGCAAAGCATGCTGCTAAGCATCCTACGATGCATAGAACAGCCTGGTAACAAAGATTATCTAGCACAAAATGTCAGTAATGCTGAGGCTGAGAAACCTTTATTTAAAAAGTGTACCCTTTGCAGAATTTTTTTTTTTACATTTAATGAGATTAGACCAAGGAATTTAGGACAAGTTTGCATTTCTTCTTAAGAGTAAAATGTATTTATGCACTGCATAACATTACCTCTCTGGCTTTCAAATTCTTTAATAATAATTGCGATCAATTTGTTCAGCAAAGCTGGACTGTCCTTCCAAGAGTCCTCTTTCTCGCATAGCTATGGATTAGTATAAACCACAAGAGACATTTGCATGAAATGTGGAAGTCAGAAATAAAACAGTAACCACCTTGCTTTTTAGGCTCAAAGTTGTATATTAGGATTTGAGGCACCAGTGCAGTTCATACAAGTAGTGCATGTCTGATGAAACAATGGGTTGGCCTGGGGCAGCAACTGAGCCAGCGGTGACAAAAGTTCATCTGGATCCTTTTTCAGTTTCTTTGGTTTCTTGGCTATGTGCACATTACTCTATGAGAAAGCATAGACATGACTTCGTTTCTCTTGGTTATACACATAGAAATGGAATTGCTAGGTCATATGGTCATTTTATGTTTAGAATTTTGAGAAACCTTCAAACTGTTTTTCAAAGCAGCGATATCATTCTAAAGTCATACCAACAATATGATAGTTTTGTTTTCTCCACATCCTCACCAACAGGTGTTACTGTTTTTTTGTTTGTTTGTTTGTTTGTTTTTCAATTGTAGCCATTCTGGTGGGCATGAAGTAGCATAATATCTCAGTGCGGTTTTGATTTACATTTCCCTGATAGATAACTATGCTAAGCATCTTTTCACGTGCTTATTGAACACTTGTATATCTTCTTTGGAGATCTGACTGTTCAAATGCTTTGCCATTTTTAAACCAGAAAGTCTTTTTACTACTGAGTGGTAATAATTATGTATTTCAGATATGTCTTATCAGATATATAATTTGCAAAAATTTTCTGCCATTCAGTGAATTGCCTTTTAAAGGTTACTGTTAGTGTCTGTTAAAGTACAGAAGCTTCTAATTTTATATCAAGTTTCTCTTTTGTTGTGTGACTTGAACTTTTAGTGTCATATCCAAGAAACTATTGCTTAACCCGGGGTCTTGAAGATTAACACCTGTATTTCCTTCTAAGAGTTTTATAACTTTTACTTTCACATTTAGGTCTTTGACACATTTTGAATATTTTTGTATATAGTGTGAGGCAGTGGATTATTTTGCATGTGGATATCCAGTTGTCCCAGAACCATTTGCTCAAAGATGATTTCCCTCCTTAAGTTGTCTTCACATCCTTGTTAAAAGTCAACTGACTGCCTTGTAGTATAGTTTGAAGTCAGGTAGCATGATGCCTCCAGCTTTGTTTTTTTTTTGCTTGTAATTGTCTTGGCTATACGGGCTTTTTTTTTGGTTCCACATGAAGTTTAAGGTGGTTTTTTCCAGTTTTGTGAAGGTCAATGGTAGCTAGATGGGGATAGCATTGAATCTATAAATTACTTTGGGCCGTATGGCCCTTTCCACAATATTGATCCTTCCTAACCATGAACATGAAATGTTTTTCCATCTGTTTGTATCCTCTCTTATTTTCCTTGAGTAGTATCCTCTCTTATTTCCTTGAGCTCTATTTCCTTTGTACTTTTCCTTGAAGAGGTCCTTCACAAACCCTTGTTAGTTGTATTCCTAGGTATTTTGTTCTCTTTGCAGCAATTGTGAATGGGAGTTCATTCATGATTTGGCTCTCTGTTTGTCTGTTTTTGGTGTATAGGAATGCTCGTGATTTTTGCACATTGGTTTTTGTATCCTGAGACTTTGCTGAAGTTGCTTATCAGCCTAAGGAGTTTTTGGGCTGAGAAGATGGGGTCTTCTAAATATACAATCATGTTGTCTCCAAATAGAGACAATTTGACTTCCTCTTTTTCTGATTGAATACACTTTATTTCATTTTCTTGCCTGGTTGCTCTGACTGGAACTCCCAATACTACGTTGATTAGGAGTGGTGAGAGAAGGCACCCCTGTCTTTTGTCAGTTTTCAAAGGGAATGATTCCCGTTTTTGCCCATTCAGTGTGATATTGGCTGCGGGTTTGTCATAAATAGCTTTTATTATTTTGAGATACATTCCATTGATACCTAGTTCATTGAGAGTTCTTAGCAAAAAGTGCTGTTGAATTTTGTTGAAGGCCTTCTCTGCATCTATTGAGATAATCATGTGGTTTTCATCTTTGGTACTGCTTATGTGTTGGATTACATTTATAGACTTGCATATGTTGAACCAGCCTTGCATCCTAAGGGTGAAGCTGACTTGATTGTGATGGATAAGCTTTTTGATGTGCTGTTGGATTTGGTATGCCAGTATTTTATTGAAGATTTTTGCATCAATGTTCATCATGGATATACTACAAGGCTACAGTAATCAAAACAGCATAGTACTGGTACCAAAACAGAGATATACACCAATGGAACAGAAAAGAGGCCTCAGAAGTTATGCTACATATCTACAACCATCTGATCTTTGACAAATCTGATAAAAACAAGCATTGGGGAAAGGACTCTTTATTTAATAAATAGTGTTGGGAAAAATGGCTAGCCACATACAGAAAACTAAAACCAGATCCCTTCCTTATACCTTATACAAAAATCAACTCCAGATGGATTAAATATTTAAACATAAGACCTAACACCATAAAAACCCTAGAAGAAAACCTAGGCAATACCATTCAGGACACAGGCATAGGTAAGAACCTCATAACTAAAACACCAAAAGCAGTGGCAACAAAAGCCCAAATTGACAAATGGGATCTAATTAAATTTAATAGCTTCTGCACAGCAAAAGAAACAATCAGTAGAGTGAACCAGCAACCAACAGAATTGGAAAAAATTTTTGCAATCTACCCATCTGACAAAGGGCTAATATCCGGAATTTACAAAGAGCTTAAACAAATGTACAAGAAAAAAACAACCCTGTCAAAAATGGGTGAAAGATATGAACAAATGCTTTTCAAAAGACATGTATGCAGTCAAGAAACATGAAGAAAAGCTAATCATCACTGATCATTAGAGAAATGCAAATCAAAATCACATTGAGATACCATCTCAAATCAGTTAGAATGGCAGTCATTAAAAAATCTGGAGACCACAGATGCTGGAGAGGATGTGGAGAAATAGGAACACTTTTACACTGTTGGTGGGAGTGTAAATTAGTTTGACCATTGTGGAAGACAGTGTGACAATTCCTCAAGGATCTAGAAATAGAAATTCCATTTGACTCAGCAATCCCATTACTGGGTATATACCCAAAGGATTATAAATCATTCTATGAAGACACATGCACACGTATGTTCATTGTGGCACTGTTTACAATAGCAAAGACTTGAATCCAAACCAAATGCCCATCAATGATAGACTAGATAAAGTAAATGTGATATATAGACATCATGGAATACTATGCAGCCATAGAAAGGATGAGTTCATGTCCTTTGCAGGGACATGGATGATGCTGGAAAACATCAATTTCAGCAAAGTGACACAAGAACAGAAAACCAAAGACAGCATGTTCTCACTCATGAGTGTTGAACAGTGAGAACACATGGATATAGGGAGGGGAATACCACACACCAGGGCCTGTTGGAAGGTAGGAGAACTAGGGGAGGAATATCAGGGGGTAGGGGGTTTGGGGAGGAATAACATTAGGAGAAATACCTAATATAGGTGATGGGGGATGGATGCAGCAAACCAACATGGCATGTGTATACATGTAACAATCCTGCACTATCTGCATGTGTACCCAAAACTTAAAATATGTTAATAAATAAACAATAGATATCAAAAAAAAATCAACTGACTGCAAATTTGAGAGTTTATTTCTAAACTATCTGTTCTATTCCATATATTTATATGTCTATTTTTATGGAAGTACCATGCTGTCTTGATTGTAGTTTTGTAGTAAGTTTTGAAACTGAAAATTGCAAGTCTTCCAGCTTTGTTCTTCTTGAAGATTGTTTTGGCTGTTTGTGTTCCTTAAATTTCCGTATGCATTTTAAGATAAACTTGTCAATTTCTGCCTTAAAAGACATGTATTTGAAGCCCCTAAGTTTATGGTGATTTGTTAGGCAGCAATTAATGACTACTACACAATTAATCCAGGGCTAATCAAGTACAATTCTATGTATCGAAAATGAGACACTAAGTTAAACAAGCAAGTAGGTATGTTCTGTAATATGTGAGGACAGAAGCCAAAGGGGAAATAAAACTCCTTCTACCCAAGGAAATAGCCTCTCCCATCTGTCTTTTGTTTGACATTTTTGTCTCTTTCAACTTTCTGTAAAAACTAATATAAATAATTGAACACATAGTGCAGGTATACATAATTATGTGTATTTAAATAATGGATCAGAGGACATGGAAAGTAATGCTCATAGGCATATCTGGTAATATATTGAAAAAACCTTGCAGGTCAGTAAGGATTCAGGAAGTGATCTTCGAATCTCAAAGACTTGTCTGTTTTCAGACATGTTCTAATAAAAAGCTTGCCTAATCTTTCTGAGGACATAGAATATTCATGTTAAAAGCTCAGGCTCTGAAGTCAGAGCTAGAAATGGAATCAATCCTGCTTGCCATTTATCAGATGTCTCATTTAGGCCAAGTGTATGGTCTCTTCCAACCCCAGCTTCCTTCTCTGTAAAAGGCAGATTCTAACAGAACCAGCCTAAAAGAGATTTTTTTGAAGACTGAGCCCAATAGTGCCCATTAAGCATATGGCAGGTACAGGGTACATAAATAGCAGTGGTTATTTGTATTTAATAACATCTTATGCACCCAAATTAAGGAAAAACCCAGTTTTTGAAAACTAAAATAGAGTAATCTGATCTTGTTTTTTTAAAAAAGTTTAAATTTGGATTTGGAGATGATTTGCATAATCAAAGAGACCTATAAACAGGGGGCTCCATTTAGAATACAGATGCTGTATGATATATTTTGGGAATACTAAACTCTCGTAAAAAATTTTGTTTCCAACTTACAGTTTGAGAGACATTGAGGGAGTCATGTCCTATCATCTGGAACTCTATACACTGAGGGAACAGGGTAGTAGCCATTTTTAAGACCCTTTTTAGTTCTAGTATGCTATGTTAAAACCTACTTGTTAGGCAGATATGGGAAGATAAAAAGAGAACTAGAAGGCTTAAGGGTTGGGAGATACTGCCAACTGAGCATCAATCAGAAGAACAGAGAAAGTGTGTTGGGAATTTTAATGGAAGTCAATTTGGCTTTTGTACACACATTGATTTTATAAGATGAGGCATGCTGTAATGTTATTTAATTACTTGCCACACATTTCAGAGGAAATATATAACAAATATCATTTTAATGTGAAATGACAATTTGAGTAATTTAAGTGTTGATCATGTGGTTTTTCCATGACACGGGGGAATGATTAATGGATATGCTTCTTCAGAGAAAATGAGAGAGAACTGGGGCCCTACCATCCCCATCTTCTACCATCTTAAAATGTCTGTCCTTCTGTGTTTACTTAGAAAATATTGCTTTTTGTTTGTAAGGGTACGTGCATACATGACAGATGGGAGGGACTTGAAGTGAAATAGAGCATCTAGAAAGATTTTCGAGATGCAAAATACATTAGTCAGAACTCTTGATTGTAAACTCAAACTAGCTTAAGCAATACACAGAATTTATTAATTCAGTTTTTGTGCATGTGTGTGTATGTTTTAATCAAGAAGTATATTACTTTAAGCACAGTGGAACCAGGCATTCAAATGATGTGGATTATGTTATTAGGTCTAGTCCGCCATTCCCAGTATATTTTAGTTCGGCTTTCTCTGTTGCTTTATTCTTAAGCTGGCTCTTTCCATGTAATGCATTTGCCCTGACTGAGTACTGTGCCCATCCCTAAACCAACTTCTGTGACTTTGCCTCTCCAGGTCCAGGTTCAGGCTTCCCTAAAGCTGATGATATAAGGTTAACCTGTCTCTCCTTCCTCACACAACAGCAGAAATTACATGATTTGAGAGCGGATTCCATTGGCAGGAGACATGAATGTTGAGCAGTTAAAGACTAGGCTCACTGCAGAGAACTATATATAACCTCCCCCCACCTTTATTTTACTTTTAAGTTGGCTTTAATATGCTTTTAAATATAAGGTGAAATTACTTTCTTAAGGTTATACACTGATGGGAAATGTGGTGTCTTAGTCTGTGTTTTGTGTTGCTATGACAGACTACCCGAGACTGGGTGATTTATATGGAAAGAGTTTTAGTTCATAGTTCCGGATGCTGGAAAGGTCAAGGTTGAGCATCTGCATCTGGTGAGGGCCTCGGCCTACTTCAGCTCTTGGTAGACAGTTGCTGGCATGTGTAAAGAGCTCACATGGCAAGAAAGGAAGCAAGAGTGAAACCAAGGAAGCCATACTCTAAGAACCAGTCTCTCAGGAACTAAGCCAGTCCTGTGAGAACATACGCACCTCAGTGGGAGGACATTAATCTGTTCATGAAGGATCTTCCTGCATGATTCTAACACTTCTCACTAGACCAGACCTCCCAATACTGCTTCACTGAGGATCAAATTTCAACACCAGTTTTGCTGGGGTCAAACAAACCATATCTAAACCACAGCAGATGGAAAGCAGATCTACCTGTGATCTCTAATCTGGAGGTGTTTCTACCATCCACTGCTACCTCCAACCAGACAGTTAAAGAAGCTTTTTCCTTTTTTTTCAAGTAAGTACTGATAATTTAGAGTGTATGAGATAAGAATGATAAAAATCATTGAAAGCCTGGAAAACATACTGTGCAAGGAGTAATAAAACCAACTGAAGATGTTTACTTAAGACAAGACTGGAAGATGTTGGACAGAAGTGGGGAAAACATAGTTGAGTGTCACTGTTGGAAGGACATTCTAGGGTATGATTTCCAATGGGTAAAATCTACAGAAAGATTGTAGCTTCCCAAAAAGATCTGCAGACAGACCAATGGAGCAACAGGATGGAATTCCTCAAGAGCCAGTGAGTGTGCAGTTGGGAGAGATGGTCCAGAAAACCTGGGTGGACATTTCCCAGGAACTCTAAGCAATAGCACTGTCTAAAAGAAAAACAATGCAAGCAACATACATAATCTAAGTGTTCTAGTAGCCACATTAACAAGTAAAAGGAAATGGGTAAAATTACTAAGGTAACAGATTAAATCCAATATATTTAAAATATTATCACAGCTTTGTATAATCAATATAAAATATTTTTAATGGAATTTTGCGTTTTTTCCAATACTAAATCTTCAAAGTCCAGCATGTTCTTTTTATTTGTAGGACAGCCAGCTTTCCTAGATGCATGTCAAGTGCTCCATAGCCAGAGGTGACTAGGCTAGTAGACCCATAGAGGGCATTTTTGCATGGAAATCTGTGGTCCAGGGGAGGGCACTTTCACCTCTGAAGTCCTTCTCAACTTGGTGTCTGAATATGTAGAAGGAACAGCTAGGGTCACATCATCATCTTCTTGAAAACCTTTAGTGGCTTTCTGATATCTGAAGAAAAATATTATACTCTCTGAGCCCTCTAATTCCGTATCTACTAGATTGTTAGGGCTGAGAACTATGTCATATTCATCCTTTTCTCCAGGATTAAATATAACATTGGTAATATAGAAAGTGCTAAATATCTGTAGATATAGATGTAAATATAGATATATAGAGAGGTAGATAGTTGTTGTTATATATATTTGTTATTGTTGAATGGGTGACATGGACTTTATCTTGCCCTCCAGCTATCTCCCTATTCTCTTTTCATGAGCACTGTATTATACACAAATGTACTCCCGATTCTCTTACCCTCTTTCCAATGGAAATGGCTGTCCTAACATCATTATTTGGAAGGAAGGAAGTGATCTGTCCCTAGATAGGCTTTAAACTTTGACATATTACCCAAAGTTAACTTGGAATAGGGAACCCTGGACTGAGGAGCTATTCCATAGCCTTGAGCCTTCTCATTCTGAATGATTCAGATCAACTCTTGCTTACACCTGAGCATGTTGACCAAGTCCAAGTCCAGTATAAGAAACCTCTCGTTTGACCTTACAGCAGCAGTTTAGACTGGATGGAGTCTCAAAATATCTTCTCTTGCATTCTGAGGAGATAAGAACCCTTGGTCAAGTGGAAAAGCAAGTTGCATTTAACATCTTGGGGATTTAGATGTTATTTTAACTACATCCTAGACAGTATTACCTTGAATATGGACCTTAACCTCCATAGGTCTCTGTTTCTCTATTTTCAAATGGATTGTAATGATAGCTATTCCAACTATTGATCAAATAAGGAATATGACCAATTTGTATTAACTTAACAATACATTGCTGTGGCTGAATCACATTGCTTGGGTTCAGATCTTTCTTTTTAGTTGAATGATTGGCTTATAAGTTACTCAACCTCTGAGTCTCAGTTGCATTACTTTTTAAGTAGAGAATTACAGGTTTGTTGTAAGAATTAACTGAGAATGGATGTAAATGCTTAGCCTTTATACGTGCATATTAAACATTTCCTGTGTTTTGTTGCTATTAGTGTGGTAGAAAGAACATGCCTTATGTGATTTGTCACCAGTACTTTTGGACTCTGAGCCTTGCTTTCTCCATTTGAAGAAAAGAGAAAATCTTAACATTCGTGCCATTATTACAGAATTCTCAAGAAGATGACAAAGTGGTATCTGTAAAAGAACTATGTAAAACATAAAGTGCCATAATGCATCCATTTTAATAGAAAGACAAACATCTTTGCAATAGACAAGCTGCATGCATGTTTGTGAAAGACTGCAGATTCCAGGAAGATGGGTCCTCTCTGTATCCACTCCATACTTGATCCCCAGTGCCAAGCACTGTGCCTGGCGTATAACCAGTGCTGGTTGAATAAGCATGCAGCATGATTGCCCATTTGTTATTTTGGCAGAAGAGATGGAAATTACTCCCAATACAAGGAAAACATTCAGGGTCTCCTGTTATTCTTTTCTCTGAAAGCACAATCACATTATTGGAAGAGTTACCAAAATAGAAAATGAAATCATTTG